TCCTGTCTGACCCCCCTTTGCAACTCAAAGTATCCCGTACTATATCCGTTATTCATCACGCAACATACAATATTTGTATACAATGATTTCACCCACCTTTGAAATTGAGGACCGAATTGAAATTTCTCTAATGCCCTATCAAGATACTCCCAACTGACCGTATCAAAGGCTTTTTCAAAATCTACTGCTATTAGCAGAGCCTTCTTACCAGTTTGTTCTATGTAGTGATACACCTCACTAATTAATCTTGCATAATCACTAATATTGCGGCCTTTAACAAAAGCTGCCTGGGTTTCGCAAATCAGGAAGAACAGATTCCAATCGCTTAGCAAGGCATTTGGATGCCAATTTTGCATCCACGTTCATTAATGAAATTGGCCTCCAGTTTTTCAATAAACGTTTATCTCGTCCAGGTTTTTCTATTAGTGTAATGATACTTTGTTTCTGGGAGGTCGAAAATTCTCCCTGCTCAAAGGCTAAGTTTAATGAGTTCACTACCAGATTTCTTACCAGTGGCCAATATGCCTTATAAAACTCAACCGTTAAGCCATCGTTTCCTGGGCTTTTATTTTCTTTCATTGAAGTTAATGTATCCAAAATATCCCTTGAAGTTAGAAGTCCCTCACATTTTGCCTGTGAACTTTCTGCCAGCACTGGAATTGCAGTATTATTAAGAAATTTAGTGGCCTCTATCGAATCCTTATTTGAGTACAGCCTAGAGTAAAAGGTTTTTATTTCTGTTAAAATTTCATTTGGTTGTTCTATAGTTTTATCCCTTTCTACTTTTAATTGTTTGATGCAGGATTTCTTTCTGTTATTTTTTTCCCCTTTTTCATACCACCTAGCCCGTGATCTTATTATAGCACCTTCTACCTTATAATTATAATGGTCTTCTAATTTCCTTTTCATTTCTTCCATATTGCTATAATTTTCCTCATTTGGGCTGTCACTACACATCTGTTGAGTATCTTTAAGCTGTTTTTCCAAGTCCTCAATTTCCTGTTTACGGTTTCTTGCTTTTTCTTTAGTGTAATCAATTGTAATTTTTTTAATCTGGTATTTAATTAAGTCCCATAACTGACTTCTATCTATATCTTTAAATTCTTCCTGCCAGTTTTCAATCTTTTCCTTTATTAAGTTTCCATACTCTTTATCTTTGGTTAGAGTGGAGTTGAATCTCCAATGAGCAGGACCATGTTTCTGACAAGAATCTTTTAAATGTAGCCAAACAGCGGAGTGATCCGAAGCTAAACCTGGTATAATTTCAACTTTTTTAACAATATTTTGCAAAACATCTGAAATTATTAGATA